CTCAAAGTGATTAGTTGATTGTTTAACCTCTCAGGATCAATCTCATCGACAAGTGTTTACTGACTATCCAACAAAATATGTCTGGCAAAGGACTACTACCGAGAATATATAAAGAATTCAGAAAAATCAGGCCCCCCAAATTTAAAGACCCAATCCAAAAAGGAGGCACCTGAAATGAATAGACACGTCTCTGATGAAGAAGTACAAACAGCAATAAATATCCGAAAAACTGTTCAACATCACTGGTCATTCAAGAAATGTAAATTAAAACAACACTGAGATCTCATCTCAGTGTAGAAAGAATGGCTGTCATCAAGAAATCAGCCAATAACAAATGCTGGGAAGGCTGTGGGGAAAAAGGAATGCTTCTCCACTGTTGGTGGGAAGGTAAATTGGTACAACCAATGTGGAAATCATAATGGAGATTCCTCAAAAAACTAAAACATGAGTTTCCATTTGACCCAGCTATTCCTCTTCTTGGTATCTTGCCAAAAGAGTTAAAAGCATCATACCACAGTGATATATCACATTTCAGATGTTTATAGCAGCACAATTTGTAATAGCTAAATCTTGGAAACAGCCCAGCTGCCTATCAATGATAAATGGATAAAGAAAATGTGGTTTTTATATACAATGGAGTACTATTCTGTCATCAAGGAGGATAAACTTGAGACATTTTTAGGTAAATGGATGCACCTTGAGACCATACTCTTCAATGAAATAAATTGGACACATGTTTAAGGATCACATTGTTGCTCCTGTGTGAGAAACTGAAAGGGTAAATAAGGACCAAAATGGGTGACAGATATTGGGAAGTAGGAAAAAAATATTCAAATGGGAAGGGGAGCAAGGGATGGGGAGAGAGAAGAAAAGGGAAAAGGAAAAAAGAATAGGAGGAAAAATGGAAACAAAGCTTTTGTAAATAAGGAAAGGGAGAAAGGTTGAAGGGAAGGGTGGGGAATGGGGAAAAAAAGAAAAATCAAGATATATTACACACAGCTATAAATTACCTATGATGAAAGTGATCATTATGTTTATCAAAAGTATACTAATAAAATTAAATTTTAAAAAATATGTCTGGCAAAAGAGTCAAGGTAAGACAAATAGGCCTTGTTTCAGCGTACTCTAATCCTCAGAGAATTAAATGGGTTATCACATATGATTTTTCTTCACTAAGAACTTCATTTTAGAATATAGACATAGTAAACAAAAACTACTTCAAGGTTTTTAATGCAATATGTTATCTCTTCAAATAACCTAAATATGTGCCTTGACTATAAATTTTACATTTTTCCCATTAAGGAGAAATGCATGAATCTTTTGATTTCACTTTGTGTGTGTACCAATCCTGAGCAGAGAAACTTGGGGATTTTGGCCAAATAGCTTAGTTTCGAGGCATTTCTTAAAAGATATAGTTCAGAGCAACTAAGGATGTGGCTCAGTGGCACAACACATGCACACCATGTGTGAGGCCCTGGGTTCATTCCCCAGCACCGCAAAACGAAAACAAAAGGCATCATTCAAGAAACAATAAAAAGGAAGCTTTCCATTAAATTTGAACTTGTATAAACCAAACATCAGCATGAACTGTTGCCATAAACTTTTCAGTGACCAGGTAAGCCAAAAAAGAAAAAAGAAATAGTTATCAAAACATACCAAAACACTTTTTATTTGAGCATCATGTAGGCACAGACAGAAATTTACAATTCCTAGGAAAGGTGAAGTTTGTCTCAAATCACTCAAGCCAAATCCTCTTCTCCTCAGAGCTATCTTGTATTTATTACTGAATTTTCTCAGACTTTGGTGTATGAAAACAATGAACTTTGGAAATAATTTCACTGTTTTAGGAACACAGTGATCACTGACTCCATTTGCAATTTAACCTGTCTCCACCATCAACAAAAAGCCCCATGGAAAACACTGGTTTTACAGTTTTGTATAAGCTCAAAGATTCTTAATTTCTCCACTTACTTGCTAACTGGAGTGTTTATACATAAATTCTGGCTTATTTACTTGAATAAGGTCTTAGCTTAATTTATGTTGCCATCATAAATTAAGGATAAATCTTAAGGCAACATACATAGTAAGGCTGAAAAATGATATGATTCTTATTTGAGAAACTCAAAGTATAAATAAATTAAAGAACAAAATAAAAGGCAGATGATAGGAAACAGGGATGAAGAACTTTTGCACATGGGAAGGGGACCAAGAGGTGGGGGAGGTGGGAGGGAGGGGAGGGAATAGGTACATAAGAAGAACTAAGATGTGTTATGTCCCATGTACCAACTCCCCATGATATAAATGTACTAATAAAAATTAAAATATGTACTAATATAATAAAACATGCACTAATAAACATGTACTGAGAAAAGTATACTCATAAAACATATACTAATAAAAATAAGTGACAAGAATGATGGGATAAGTGTGCTCAAAGGGGAGGGGATTAATGGCAATGTGTCTTTTCTATAATAAATCTTTTCAATCTAAACACTCTTGTATATTTTGATCATCCCTTGTAAAATCACAAAATTGGGCTACAGAAAACAAAGGTCTGAGTATGGAGGTGTTTCCAGGAGAAGAATATAACTACATTAGATTCCAGAGGGAGTTTTTGTGTATTCCTGTCTCCTACCTCTCTGCTATGATCTGCATTTCCTCAAGATTGAAAGCTAGGGACAGATTGCCAAAAACACCATTCTTGATGCCAACTGACCTACTCAATGAACTTGACTCTGGGCTTTTTGCCAATAAATAAGTCAAACACTCTTGTCCTAAATCCATCTTCATGAATATGTGTACATACATACACACACACACACACACACACACACACACACACACGCATGCACCAGTACCTTGTACCATAGTGCTCAGTTCATACTGAGGAGGCCCTGGGAAGCCCCTGGCTGTCATGTGAACCGCATGGGTCCCAAGGTAAGCAGACAGCTGCTACACAACCCTGTGTTCGGAGAGGAGTGACCATCCAGGGAGCTGCCAGTCACCCTCCTGCCATGCACCTTTCCAGCTCCTGGAAGTTCTTCTGCTATGGCTTTGGGGATCAGGGAAAACTCACACTTGTGTATGTGTGTACACGTGTGTGTATCTAAAAACATAATCTCTTCTGATCTGTCACTTTACAATGATTCACACATCAAAATGACTTTTGGAAAAGAAATATCTGATGTTCTTGTTTTTTGTCTGATTACTATGGTTTGGGGATCAGCTCCACAAAGAAGGATCTTAATAAGCACAAAGTAATTTCCTAAATAAATCACTCTCTGATGCAGTAATACAGTAGCAATGGACAGTGCCTTCCATGAGAGCCTGTCAGCCTTGTTCACTGCTTATGCTCCTGTGCCTAGAAGAGGATCTAGCGCATCAAAATGTGCACATCAAAATGCATAAAAGAATACTATTTATCCAGAGCCTATCATTTGTCAGGTCAGGTGGAAGGCATTCAGCATACCTTGGTTTTTATTCCTCATAACAACAAAACCCTGTGTGATGGATGTTATAATAATTGGCTTATAAATAAGGAAACTGAAGTTTGAGAAATTTAACTTGCCTAGGTTACAGTAATTCACATTTAGGAAATAGCAATTCACATTTAAATGTGTCTTTCTGGTCCATGTTCTCCTCAACACATACCATGCCTTCACCCCAACAGTGGAAGTAAGTTATGATTGACTTTTGGTCTTTTATTATAAGATAACAAGTTAGAATGTTTGAATATTACCATGGATTCAGAAATTCCTCCACATGACAAGGACTCTGGAGGATTGATGGAATAGGATACGAATGAAAGAAGCTCAAATCATGCATCTCAATATGCAAAACGGCAATGAAGTTTAAGTTCTCACTTCCCTGCTATACCACTGCTAAATCTCACTAAACCTAAACTTCTTTATCTGAAAACGGCACATTATGAGCCCCATCTCTTTGAATTAAATGAAAATACATATATACATGATAAGGACTGTATAATAAATGTGGGTTATAACTAATAAACTATAAAAATATATTATAAATAATAAAAGTAAATTACTAACCTAGAAGTATCTTTAAACTTATGTAAACTAATTTAATTGATATTTTATTAAAAAGCATAAATATTTTTAATGGAAGGACCACACAATTGTTATCCTGATGAACATATGACATATGCCTTTTATCTCTCTTTGGCCAGCAATTCTACTAATGAAATTATAAGGGCAAATCCCTGTTAAAAGCGGGGAGGGAATATGGAGGGCAGAAGTGAAAAGGTAAAGTTTAAAGTCTCGATCCTCATGCATGGTAGAGAGGGCAATGAAACATTACTGATAATTGAATAAATTAATGTTCATCACCAGTGGAGTCCCAAAGGTCTCATTCCCAACTCTATGGAAAGATTTCCAGAAACTAAAAATGCTTAAAATAAAACATTTGCAAACATTTGCTTGGATTAGAAAAAATAAAGTTGTGTTTTGTTTTTCTGCATGAGGCTGTCAATTTTAAAACTAATTAGCTAATTCATTCTGGGGACAACATTTAACATTACATCTCTCAAGACAGCAACAGCTGAGAAAGTCTGTCACCATGAGATGAGCAAATTCTGCTAAATCTGAGGCACTGTGAAGCGGTCTGAAATGGCCTTTGGACTGCCACCCGACCAAAATCTTGGGTTACCCTTTTCATTTTACCTTAAGTCAGGCTTTTCCTTAAACCAAGCTATGCTGAGCATTCAGCTTCCTATGGGTTTTCCCCATTTCTTCAATGAATCAGCCTAAACCAGGCGAAGAGCAAGTAATACAGGCCAGAAGCACAAGACTCAACATTTAGGCTCTACTATTAAACAGTTTGGCAGTAATACTCTTTAAGCAGTGCCATTTTCATCATATTTTTTCTGTCTGTCTCTCTGTCTCTCTCTCTCTCTCTGTAGTATGTGCACACACAGTCAAGGTCAACTTGTTTGTAAGTTCTCCAACATGAACACGCACTATAAGCGAGATGGCACCTACCTTTCCGAAACGTCAGTCCACAGAAGATGTTCCTTGTTTGTGAAGAGTAGTCAGAGCGTCAGAGCACAGTTTCCAGTGCTCCTGTCAGCTTTGTTCTCATCAGAGAGCAACACGCCTCATTTATGTGTACGTTTTGAAATTCTTTCACAGACCCACCCTGGAAAGTTGCAAGTCAAGATTTCTGACTGAGGGCAATCTGTGACGTGAGGCGAAGCTACTGGATGGCACTTTCAGGTTCTTCCTGATGGGATGTTGCTTCCTGTTTCACCACTCGGAAAGGAGAAAACTGGAGTTCAGGCAGACACTGAATTATGAATACATCTACTGCCTCATGGCTGTTGCGTTTTGGTGCACAGTCATTACTCAACCACTGAACAGGATGATCTTGCTATTTAAAGGAAGAGGTTTACACAGCGGGGAGAACCCTGAAACACAGGTGAAAACCTTGCACTCTGCTATGAGCTGGTTTGACAACTGTAGTACTCTCCAAGGGCAAAGAACATTTGGGGGGCTTTTTACTAACTAAACCGCCTCTACTACCACCACCAGCACACCACAAAACCCATCCACTAAGAGACATCAGTCCACAGAAATGTGATTTCTGTTTCCTAGTAAATGAAAAAAGAATTACTTTAAAAAACTATGTAACAAACAATGAATAGCCTGGCAATCTTTTTTTTAGAACAGTCAGATGTAATTTGTTTTTATTTGCTTCAGTCTCAAAGATCAATCACCACAAAGAAAGACAAGTAATTACTATCAGGAAATAAATATTGTCTGCTTAAAGTGCTTCAATTTCATATGCCAGTGTATATGTGTTTTATAGTGTTTATGTGAGGTGTTTGACGTCTTGGGGCCATTTTCACTTTCTCCCGCTGAAGATGAAACAACTCAGCTTGAATTATTTAAAGATTCTTTGATGAGTAAGAAAGCTTCGACAAGTTCATTCATGTATCACTTGCAAACCAAACTGGTGCTTGTGGGCGGGGCAGCCAAGCCACTTACTCTGACAGCCTGATTCAAAGATTTCATTAGTTCTTCTCAACTGTGGAGAGGCATTTTTCTTTTAGCTCACAGATAACAGCAAACTGGAAATGGACTGGAGGCAGAAAAACTGAAACACCAGTTTCAAATCCATTGAAAGTTTCTCAAATTTCACTAACAAAATTTAGTTCAAGGAAGGAGGCTCATAAAAGCCCTTTCACTCAACGTCTACTCATTTAATTTTTCCTATTTGCCTTTCTCTCCACTGCTTCTTTCTTCTATGAAGGAGCTCATGAATTTGAAAAACCTCTGAGCAGAAGGGATGAATTTCCAGCAGACTGATCATCAGGTAGAGTGGGTTGGCCGTTGAGACCTTTGTCTTCCTGGCCGGGAGACTGTTGCAGAAATGCCTGGCTTCCTCCCAGCAGTTCCAGTCCATCTTCTTGCAACTGCCCCCTAGCTTATCTCCCTAGTTAAAGCATTTTTTCTTTTCATTCTTCTCTCCCTTGCTGATAGTCCTGTACCAGCCACCCTCCTCCTACAGGATCAAGACCAAGCTCCAGAGCACGACATACAGCCTGGCTGTAACTGACTGCTCCAGGACCACATCTCCTTTTCCCTGCCGCTGCATTCCAGGCAAATGGATAGGCAGCCTTCACGTCCTTGTCGTGGGCTCTTCTTTTCTTCTTCTTCTTCCAGTACTGGGGATTGAACCCAAGGCCTTTGCACTGAGCTATATCCTTAGCCCTTTTTATTTTGACACAGGGTCTCACTAAGTCATTAAGTTGCCCAGGCTGAGCTTGAACTTGTGATTCTCCTGCCTCAGCCTCTCAGAGTGCTGAAATGGGCTGTTCTTTCTGCTTTTTCTGCTCTAAGAAAGTCAGACTCCTCTCTCAAGTTCCAGCCTGTGGCCCTCCTATTCTGTACTTATTCTTATTTTATACCTGCTGTCCTGTGACCACTGACACTTTTTTTGTATTGGCTTCCCCACTACAGCAGGAATCCTCAAGGAACAAGCATTTGATGTGGGTCTTCCACGGTGCCTAGCTGTTCGATGCTTGTCAAATACCTCAAATGATGAGCATCCTACCCTCATGTTCATTCCAGGAATATCTGTGGAAAAGAAAAATGCCTGAACCCTATTCTGGATTCCTTTCCATAAAATTAAACAAGTTAAGTCATACTGTATCCACATTTTTTGTTTAAGTCATTTGTATAATGAAACATGTTATATATGGATAAAATACAATTTTCAAATCAAATAGGAACAATTTATACATAGCTGAAAACCTCCTATATAATCAAAAGTATCTTTTTAGCATCTGCTCCTTTTTTTAGGGGAGTTCTTGGGATTGAACCCAGGGCCTTGCATAAGCATTTGTTGTACCCCTGAGCTACACCCTAACCCCCTCTACTATATTCCTTGAGTCACTAAGGAGGGGTTGTTCCTCCTCTCCTCCAGGGACAACTGTGAAAATGAGCTGTGCACAATCTATGCTAGAAGAAGGAAGGTGAGAAATCTGGAGTTTGCTGGTGAGACCTCAGTGGGAGCGGGAGATCTAAGTGGCCCCTCCACAGAGACAACCACAGAGCAAGGAGATGAAAACAAATTCCAAATGCATCCTTCCAAAAATTCATACAGTAATTCCTTTCTTCTCTTTCTCATTTGTGCCCTGCAATACATTCATCACTGCATTGGTAAGCAAAAGGAGAGAACTCCCAGAATGATTAATGAAAGAGCAAGAGCCATGTGCGGGTGTATTTTTCTTCTAGAAAACAATAACTATCTCGTTTTATGAAAGAACTATCAGGGTTATATTTTGAATCTTTGCTAATAGGTATTAAATCACTAAATCAATTCAAGAATGTTAAAAGTGGAGCTGGGGATTTAGCTCAGTGACGCCGCGCCTGCCTTGCAAGCACAAGGTCCTATGTACGATCCCCAATACCAAAAAAAAAAAATGTTAAAAATGCATTACACTACAGAAAGCAAATGTTACATCTCAGACAAATGAAATGTGGACAATTAAACACGCTATTAAGTGCAACAAAGGGGGACATATCACAAGACTGACCAGCACCTGTACACAGCAAGCTTGTTGCTAAAGGTTACTAAAGTGAGTTGATGTGTACAGGTGCCAGCCCACCCAGGACGTTTTGCACAGGAAAGTAAGGGAGGGGTAAGGGAGGACTAGGGGAAGTGGGTGAGGACCAGAGGCAAACCCAACCCAGATTCTACAGGGCCACTTAGGAGCTCAGAAGAGAAAAACAGATTAAGCAGAATGCAGGAACATGGACCCTGGGGCCCAGCAGGAAGAAGAAAACTAGATTGCAGCAAAAGCTCCACTAGACAGGAGCAAAGGGTGCACAGCTGCATGGAGCCCAGCATGGAAGAATGAAAAGCAGCATAACTTCTGATAGTGTAAGATGCATGCGATGCCTTAATCCAATCCTTAATTGAGTTTTACTTATTATTTTTATTTTGTAATACTGGGGATTGAACATAGGAGTGCTGAGCTACATCACCAGTCCTTTTCCTGTAGACAGGGTCTCACTAAGTTGCCCAGGTTGACCTCAAACTTGTGACCCCTGGCCTAACCTTCCAAGTAGTTGGAATTACAGGCATGTGCCACTACACTCAGCTCTTAATTGAACTTTCTAAAAAGGAAAATCCTACATAGAATTCACCAGTGTTTTCCTCACAGGAGACAATCCCTTTCAAGGAACTTACTGAATACAGTCTTAGCCATTTGTTCTTAACCTAACCAGGCAAATTTTCTCTGCTTTAACTGTCAACAAAGTCTGATTTCTTCTAATGGTTAATCTTATTTCTGTAGATTTCTCAAATGCTAAAGTTTGTTCACAGACAGAAATTTTAAATTGAAATGCTACTAAACCATGTATTCTTCAATAGGTATGCGGAGAAAATTCCTATGAGATAGAATGAAATAAAGTCTTCACAAATGCTTGCCCACTACATTCAAAGCTTTAGACAACTTTAAATCCCTGGAGCAAGCTAGCCGTGGTGGTATACACCTATAATCCCAGCTGCTGGGGAGGCAAGAAGGTTGCAAGTTTAAGCCTACCTGGGATACACAGTAAGGCCCCATCTCAAAACAAACATTTTTTTAAATCCCTAGATCAATACGTACACTGATTGAACGTGAAGACTACATCTCATTGACATAAATAGCCCCCTTTTCCGTAAGTATTGGCCCAAATTCCCAAATGGATTATAGGACCTGAATTTCATCTTTCCTCTTCCACTCCACCCAGCTGCCACACTGACCCTGGCCTAGTGGTGGAAGGGTCTCTGGTGGATAATCTGCAAGACCACTTTGTGAAAGTGTAAGGAACCTCAAGAGAAAATCCTTCATAGTTAGATGACCAAATGGTTCTCATACACCGAGACCCCCTGGGGATCCTCCCACCCCAAGAGCTTAATCCCCTCTCCAGCTTTATTATTCCTCACATTATCTATTTCCTTTTTAATGTAGTGTTATTATTTGTTCACTGTCTATTCCCAGGTAAGCTCCACGAAGGCCAGAATTTCTCTGCCCTGTTCACGACTGAACCATTCCTGGCACTGAGTCGGCCCTCAATGCCAACAGAGTAAATTTATGTATCTATGGATATACGATTGTGTCTCTTTCTCTCTACCACAATAGGTAGTTATTTTTCTCAGTCGTCTATTGGGCTCTTTCAAAACCTGAAGAGAGTACTGTGTGTCATGACAGTAGCCAGGTTTTCATTTTGTTGAGGCAGGGTCTCATGCTATGTGGTCCAGGCTAGCTTCAAACTCACAATCCCCCTGCCTCAGCCTCTCAAGTACTGTAATTATAGGCCTGTGCCATCTCACCGGGAAAAAGTGGCTGGGTCATTTTGAGTTCGCTGGGAGGTGGGGAGATTTTTCCTGGGAAGACTGAAGTATATACTGAGGACCTGAAGCAAAGGATGCTTAGCCTCCATCTGGCATGTACGCTGGGAGCACAACACTCCATGCCGGGCAGGCCACACTGCCACGTGAGCAGGCTTTCAACACAGCTGTCTCTTGCAGCCTGTCAGTTTGCCACCTGCACTGAGCGCTGCCAATGGCCATGGTCATGTGTGCACACAGCCCTCACGCAGGTGCGGCTTTCAGTGACAGGGAAGGACATAGGCCAGCTTACTTCCTCTGGAAAATTTGGTTGCTAAGCCCTGTCCCACTTGGTGCTCATGGTGTTGATGTTATTCTTAACTTCTCAATCTCTCAGGTTACTCAAGTGCCAAATAAGGAAAACAGTAGCATGATTTATAGTTGTAAAATCATTAAATAAGTTAGTGTGTATAGATAAAAGCACCCAAAATGTCACCTGGCTTATAGTAAGCACTATGTGATTGTTAGCTATGATTATGGTTATGATAAGGCTTATTAATATATTTAACTTATAGGCTTTTATTCTTATGTTACTTTGTAAGAGACTTCATTTCATATATTTGGACTTAGTTTCTCCAATTTATTTTTCATTTTACTGGGGGTGTTGAGACAGAGTCTCACTCTGTTCAGGCTGGCCTTGAACT